GCTGAAGCGTAGTATGAGTATACCACAGTGGTACCCAGTAAGTGCCAAGCCTAATCTCGGTAGAGTAGTGACGAGGTCAAGTCAGGCCCTACTGGAATAATAAAAGACAGGGTGAAAAGTTTAACAATATAATTATAATAAAATGACAATGGGAATGAGTCAAGTAAGTAGTATGTCACTATTTAACTTTATAGAATAAGGACAAATAATACTTCGCGGAAAGAAAACAGAAATTTACAATTTTAAAGAAATCACCAAAATAACCAAAGTCAAATGTAGCCATAAAGAAATATCAACAAGGGCACTCCCGAGGTACCACTTCGTAGACCCAAATGATCAATAAATTCACAATATCTTATTTTCTTATATCATCGCGAGAGCCTTCACATTTAATTTAAAAAAAAATTATTTTTCCCGAAATAGCATCCCGCGTTTTAGCCACCCTTATCACACCGCATGACTTCTAGTAGTTCCCCTACTAGCCACGCATATCAAGACACCCTTATCTCACCGTATGCGTTTCAACACCCAGACCTTATACCTCAACGACAATATTTTCCACAGTAAGGAGCTCACGGCTAAATCACAATGTGTGATGACCCGATATGTCATTTTTAATTTTAACCTTCATTTATGTATTCCGAAACCTCAAATAGCTCCATTCATCCTTCTTTGATTTACATGCACAATCCGTATCTTTTTGCGAAAACTTTTATGTGAAAAACCAAAGAAAATGTGAAATTTTGCCTTTAAAACTCATTTGAGTTGACTTCGACTAATGTTTTGAGCAAACGGATCCGGATCAATATTTTAACAATTTCGGTGGGTCCGTATCGTAATTTGGGACTTGGGTGTATGCCCGAAATAAAATTTGGAAGTCCCTAACTTGAATTATCGCCATTTGACGGAAACTAGAAATTTAAAGGTTTAAAGAATTCTTAAATTTGGCCATAATTGGATTTTTGTTGATACCGGATCCCGATTTGGATTCCGATAGTTCGATCAGTTTCGTATCAATATTTATGACTTATGTACAAAATTTAAAGTTATTCCGAGGTACGTAGGCACGTTTTCCGTTAATTTTTGAAAATAAAATAAAATAAAATAAAAAGTTTGATTTTATAAAGCTTGAATTTCTAAAGTTTGACCGAATTTTGACTTTTGAGCAAACAACTTTGGAATGAAATTTTGATAATGTCAATAGGTTCGTATGGTGATTTTGGACTTAGGAGTGTGTCCGGATATTTATTTGGAAGTCCGTAATTGATTTGGCTTGAAATGCCGAAAGTTGGAAAATGAAAGATTTTAGAAAGTTTGACCGGGAGTTGACTTTATTGATATCGGGGTCAAAATTCAATTCTGAAAATTTGAAAAGCTCCATTATGTCATTTATGACTTGCATGCAAAATTTGAAGTCATTCCGGATTGATTTGATACGTTTCGGCACAAAATATAGAATTTAAAAAATTTCATAAACTCATATGTTCGATTCGAGGTGCAATTCGTTGTTTCAGTATTGTTTGATGTTATTGGAAGCCTCTACTAAGTCCATAATATGTTTTGAGACTTGTTGGTATGTTTGGACGGGGTCCCGAGTGTCTCAGGTGAGTTTCAGAGTGGTTTCGGACCATTTCTAGGCCTTTTTAACTACTGGTTTTTTGCTACAGCAGTGTGCATCGCAGAAATTTCTGAGGGCTGACTTTGGAAGCTTATATCTTGTAATCTATAAGGAAATGGAGATGATCCAAAAATGAAAGTTGTAGACCTTTATATGTTGTTTTCATAAATTTAAACCGTTTCGCAGTTGGAGTTGGGTACAAAAGGTTATGCGTGATACACTACAGGCTATCTGGGAAGAGTTTTTGGAAGAGTTTGGTGTTTTGAGCATAAGCATGTAATGATCCAAAGATCCATTTTTCATTATAGAGATCGAAATTCGATTTTGAGACTTTCGAGAGTTTGATAATGAATTATAGGAATGATCTTGAATATTTGATCTAATTTCATCAAGTCGCGATTGGGTTTTTAGCTCGAAATATGAGTTAATTGTTTAACGAGCGAAATTGGTATCGCATTGAGCAAATGAGCTCCGAATTGAGTTTTTATTGAACGACTGGGTTCATATTATTATTTGTGACTCATAGGAACAAGAATCGTTGAATTCCGAGTTCGTATGATGGAGTTAGAGCCTTTTAGTGCAATAATAAATTGCTGGTGCAAGCAGGTTCTGGTGCAGACCTTTATTAACGGAAAATGGACTTTTAGTAACAAAAATAAACTTTTATGACGAAAAATGAGTTTTTATTGAGCAGTTTTATTTTTAGCCCATTTCAACATTTTTGGAGCTAGGGAACTCGGATTTGGGCGATGTTTGAGAGGATTTTCACCAAATGGATTGGGGTAAGTGTTTCCTACTCGGTTTTCATTATATTTCATGATTCCATGATTATTTTCATCTTTTATTAGTGAATCAATTGGAATAAAATGAGATTTTTGAAAAATCTTTCAAAAACAAAAAGTTAAGATTTGGAGGTTGATTTGTTATCGAAATTTGGTAAATTTGGTATAGTTGAATTCGTATCGGAATGGGTGTTCGAATTTCGTAAAAATTCTGTCGGGTTCCGAGAGGCGGGCCCCGTATTGACTTTTTAATGCGAAATTTTAAGTTGACATTTTATTATACGGAATTGTTTCCGATGAATTTTAGTGAAGTTATACATTCAATTTGGATAGATTTGAGTTGTCCGGAGGTCAATTCAAGCAAGAAGGATATTTTGGAATATCAGCATAACTTCAAAAAGGTAAATATCTTGCCTAACCTTGAGTGGGGGAAATTACCCCTTAGACATTGAGTCTTATGTGGAAATTGTGTAATTGAAAACCATGTACACGAGGTGATGAGTACGTACTTGGTTTATATGTGCAAATTATATCGGTTAAAATTCGTAGATACCTTTATGAATTAAATTAAAAATTATTGGCACTTACTAAATCTTTTATTTGTCATCCCTCATTTCTTGTTTGCCGATGTTGTTTTTATATGATAATTTGGTGTGATTGTCACTTTGAGTTTTATGTGAAATACCGTGATTAGTTGGGTTGATATTTCTTGAAATTAATTTCATTATAGATTTTTCATCTGCAAATAATTAATTAAATAAGCTTAAAAAGAGGCGTTAATATATTTATCAAAAATTTGAATTAAGGAAGAATAGGTAAAGACCCCCCTAAACTTGATACTTTTTAATGAGCGTACACCTTAACTATACGTGATTTTAATTAACCCCCTACGCTTACTTTTTCGGATGTTATTATCCCCCTAACCTAGTAAACCTTTCTATCGTAAATACACGCACTGTATACATATAAATGCTTGATGATGTGGCTGTACACGTTGGAATAATTCGGGTATCCAATTAGAATACCCGACCCGCTTTTAAAATTAATCCCTCAAATTTAACCCATTCTTTTTACCATCAGTTCATTTGGTCGATAACATAGAAAAACTAGGGTTTCTCACCACTTCACTCCCATCAATGACAGAGACGATTGTGAGTGCTTGAGCTTGATTTTGTGAGTCGATAGGGTTCTTCGTTGAGGTGCTGCTAAAAACTACTGTGGAGGAGCTAAAAGCTACTGGGTTTCTTTGATTCACGCCAAACTTTCTACTGTTTTCACTCCGCATTTGAAGTTATGTGTGCCTCTTTCTGTTAGGGTTAAATCAGGGCTTTTATTTTGATTGTGATTTTTGCATGCATGCCGATTAGGGTTAAATTAGGTCTTTTATGTTGCTTGTTAATTTTTTACTGTTTATTTGTAATCTTCTGTATATGTATGTCTTGAGAGTTGTTTTTTACTTTTTTTTATTACTGTGTAGGGTCCCATGGATACTAAGTATTTGAATTTAAGATGGAAAATTGGTGGGATATTGGTGAGTGAGGTAGGACCTCTATATGTTGGGGGTAGGGTTGAACATGTGACTAATGTCGACTCTGACCACTTGTCAATACCAGAGTTATCTGATTATGCTAAGGATTTTTGGATTACAAAGTTAGAAAAAACTTATATTATGAGTGCTAAGGGTGACGATTTGGTTGAATTAACAAAAGATAGGGATTTAATGGACCTTGCTATGTTATTAAACAATGGGGACACAATAAGCATTTTTGTCTCTTCTGACTCACAATTTGAGGAAGTGGGTGCTATAGAGGGTAGCCAAATAAGCCACGCGGTTGAGCCTTTTAATGTATCTTCCAGCACACAACAAGACAATAGGGAATCTTTTGTTCCCTATGGTCCTCCTTTAAATACTACTGCAAAAAATCCAGATCTAGGGTTACCTACACCTTTGAATACCACTCAAGAAGAGGATTAACCCATAGATTGGACTTCCTCTTCAGAGGAAGAAGAATTTGTTGTTGCTGATGATGTAGAGGACACTGCTACTGATTCTCAACAGGTAGAACCTGCTGGAGAAGAAGAAGAAATAGCATCTGGTGATGAATCTGAGAGGTCATTTGATTATGGAAGTGATGTCCATGAAGAGATGAGGGTTGTTAAAGAAGATCTAAAGAAATATAGACAAGACAATAGGGAATCTTTTGTTCCCTGTGGTCCTTCTTTAAATACTATGGCTGCAAATCCAGATCTAGGGTTACCTACTCCTTTGAATTCCACTCAAGAAGAGGATTCACCCATATATTGAACTTCCTCTTCAGAGGAAGAAGAATCTACTGTTGTTGATGATGTAGAGGACACTGCTGCTGATTCTCAATACGTAGAACTTGCTGGAGAAGAAGAAGAAATAGCATATGTTGATGAATCTGAGAGGTCATTTGATTTGGAAGTGATGTCCATGAAGAACTGAGGGTTGTTAAAGAAGATCTGAAGAAATATAGACAAAAGAATAGGAGAAAACTTAGGAAGGAAAAACCTGATGGATTTTTAGGTGAAGTTGGAGTTGATGAAGGTTATGAGAACATAGATCAACCCAAAAATATATGAGAGACAAATTAGGAGGTGATGATGAGCCTTACTATGATAGTTCAGATCCAGATAGCTTTGAATCTGAATCAGATCTGGAAGGGGAGGGTGATCCTGTATCTGATGATGATGTAGATGGGGAAGATAATATGGGACAGTTAAGGGGAAGGAAAAAAACAAATAGAGTGGTGTATGATCCTTCTACCAAAATTGTTACTTGGCAACTGGGGATGGTATTTGAGAATGTGAAGGAATTTAGAGAAGCAGTTACCAAGTATGCTATAAAGAAAGGTATCCAGCTAGTTAAGGATCCCAATGAGCCATATAGGGTCAGAGTTAAATTCAAAACTGGTTGTCCTTGGTTGTTGTTTGCTAGCAAGGAAGGTAGGAGTACAAACTTCACAATCAAGACTTATAATCCAAGACACAAATGTCATAAAACCACTTACAACTATCTGTGTAATTCAAAATATGTGGCAAAGCAGTTCAAAGATAGAATTACCTCACAACCTAGAATTAAAGGTTGGAAAATTCAGGATATGGTGAGAAAAAAGCTTGGTTTATATGTTGGTAAGACTGTTTGTTTGAAGGCCAAAAAACTTGTGTTGAAAGAAATTATGGGGGATCATGTTGCTGAGTTTGGTAGGATTCTAGACTATAGGGATATGCTACTCAAAACAAATCATGGTAGCACATGTGCAGTAAAATTGACAGACACAGATGATGGGCAGAAGCAGCTTTCCAGTTTCTACATTTGTTTTGCAGCTATGAAGCAGGGGTTTATGGAGGGTTGTAGGAGATGTATAGGGTTAGATGGATATTTTTTAAAGGGCGTTTGTAAAGGGCAACTGTTGGCAGCAGTAGCAAAGGATGAGAATAACCAAATGTTCCCAATAGCTTGGGCTGTTGTAGGCACTGAAAAAAAGCAAACATGGAGTTGGTTCCTCAAGTTATTGCAAACTGATTTGAACTTGGGAGATGGCAGGGAACTCACCATGATAAGTGACATGAAAAAGGTATATAATGTTGTTTAAATACTACTGTTTTTCTGGTTTAAAATACTACTGTTTCTCTGTTTGTATGCAAGGTCTATGTTCAGCTGTTGAAGAGATTTTACCTGAGCGTGAGCACAGAATGTGTTCTAGACACATTCTGGCAAACTGGGCAATAAAATGGAGAGGGATTGAAAGAAGAAAAAGATTCTGGAGTGTTGTTAGATCAATATTTGAGTCTGAAATGAAAATAAAGCTAGATGATCTTGATAAATTGGGTCATAACATTTATGAAGACCTAGTTAAATACAACAAAGCAAGATGGTGCAAAGCATTCTTCCAAACATTCTCCAAATGTGACAGTGTTGACAATAACATGTGTGAAAGCTTCAATGCTTGGATATTGGGCCCTAGACACAAGACAATCATATCAATGCTAGAGGAAATAAGGGTCAAAGTTATGAGTAGGATAGCAAAGATGAGAGATTTTGCCGAAACTTGGCAGGATGGTGTATCTCCAATGACCATGATGGTGTTTAATACTAATGTTGAGAGGTCAATGAGGGTTGACTTCATGTTTAATGGAGATACAGGCTTTGAACTCAAAGATGGTCCATGCAAGTTCATTGTAGATTTAAGAACAGGCTACTGCAGTTGCATGTCTTGGGAAATGAAAGGCACTCCATGTCCACATGCTATAACAACAATGCACTTCAAGAGACTTGATCCTTCAGAGAATATTATACATTGGTACATGAAAGAGACCTACATGAAGGCATATTCACACTTCATACAACCAGTTCCCAACATGAAAATGTCTCCAGAAAGTAGTAACCCCAAGGTATTACCTCCTCCAGTTCAAAATATGCCTAGAAGGCCAAGAAAAAATAGAAGAAAGGAAGTTGGAGAAATAAAAAGGGCTGAAAAATTATCAAAGAAGGGAATAACTATGACATGCTCCATTTTGCGAAGCAAGTACTCATAACATGAGGAGTTGTCCAACAAGACCAATAACTAATCAAGAGGTACCTTCCTACCTTCTTCCTTTATTACTATCTTCTTAGTTATGTAAGAACTAATTCCTCATTTTCTCATATAATAGACTACTAATTACTCACAATAATCAATAACAAAAACTTCACAAAAGAGAGGCAGAAAGGAATCTGACAATGCATCTAAAAGTAAGGCATCTACAAGTACTGGAGAAAAATTGGGGGGGGGGG